GAACTACATTTGGAGAGGGAAGGGTGGTCTTCATTAGCAGATAATTTGGATTAGAGAAGCGATAATTTGAATTTGTCTATAACTCGAACATGTATATTTTTATAAGTCCCGTACCTAAATAGATAACAGTCTTTTTTAAACCACTATCCATTATTTCATAGCATGTATCAGATTATATTTTACATAAATTGTACAAAGCAATATGCGTCTGTTTCACTCTACTTCTATTAGAGGCCATATTTTAGACTTTAAACATTTACAAATTATTTCTTCCGAATAACAGTGGAGATCTCGTCATTGTAGAAATGTAAATAAATATCTCGGCGAGTGGGACCAAGCAATACCGAACGAGAAAGCAATGAACGGATTATGTATCCCCGGGTAAACGAGGCTTTTACGGTGCATGTGGTTAAATTGCTTTCGCAAATCGTCGTACTTAGAGTGATGTCTCCTTATCATAACAGCACATATAACATGGCAAGAATTATTTAAAGGGGCAAAGAAATTAATGATCGGCGCATCCGTACAACTTAACCTTTAAAGCCCTTTGGTAACTTCATGTACCATCTGCTTTAAACCAATAGCACTGCATTTTAGTTGTGAGTTTCGTATGATTCTCAGAGTCAACAGCAATTAAGCAGATAGTATTACCAAATTTATTTCTGTAGTGGAAAAGTGTGTTTTCTGTGCGGTACGGATTTAATTCTTAAATGTTTAGACATGCGTAGGCTTCAAATGGTTAAACATATAATGAGACGTTGATTGGCTTGAATACAATTCTAAACACGTTCAATATATCAGATTCATTCTATCAAAGAAAATGTGTTAACCGATTTAACAAAAATTCAGGAGGGTGTGTGAATTAATTCTTTCACCGACATCAGAAACAGCATCATTGGGGCTCTGTGTGATATCGAAGCCGAAACGAGCATCTTGGCGTCTTTAATCTGCTGATCTTAGTTTCCGAAATGCAGAACCCATCTTAACCGGGACTCAAACCCAGGACATATTTTTCCGGTTTCTGGCCTTTGTTCTCATAATCCTTTCTTTGAATGAAAAATGTATGGTCGTGACGTCGTTTCCGTGCTGCATGAATCGCCCTCAAAAGGACATAAACTCAGGACACTTTTCAGCAGTTCTGTTCCTTCTAAACTCTCTTCCTGGCATCAACTAATAAGCATGTCAAGTTTGGTATAAAGTATTGTCAGCTGTCAACCTACAAGCGAATAATTCATATTTTGCATATAAGATAGAATTAATAAAAAAACTTCATCTTCTCAGTTCAGCGTTAATTTAAGCTAATTTCATTCAGTCATCCGTCCAGGACAGTACGTATCGATTAGATTATGGGTTGAATTTTCATTATCAAATGGAACAGGATTAAATGACGTAACTCTCCTTTCATACTTTTATAATGATTTTTTAAATGTGAAAAATTTCAAGTCCGTGAAGTTTACTTTAGGTCTGCACCGCGTATGTCAATAGCGCCATATGAATACAAACGCATTAACGCATAATTTCGCAAGAAAGGTAAGTCACGCATTCAGCCCGCGTATTTCACTTGTCAATGACACAGGTTTCATTCGCGGATAAGAAATACTTGTCCTATTAGCGACTGAGGTTTTTACTATAGTTGCTGTTAATGGCATGTACATTTAAAGCTGAGGGATTATATTAAAAAGTATTTTGGGGAGCATAACGTGAAAAGAGAACAGGACCGAAGTAATTTATTACAGAACTATGCAGCAGGCCTTTATGAACACGAC